CCTATGCAGTTCCCTCTCACTGTCAGCAACTGCATGAACTCTTACAAATCCTATGTGAACCTTGTCACCCTCTCTCTCTAATTTAAACAAGGACTATTTTTGGTTCAGCCATTATGAGAAACAGTCTGGAGGTTACTTAAAACTTTAAAAACAGAACTAGCATATGACCCAGCAATTCCACTTCTGGGTATGTATCAGAAAAAATAAACAAAATCACTATCTTGAAAAGATATTTATCCTCCCATGTTTATTGCAGCATTACTCACAGTACCCAAGATACGGAACCAACCTAAGTATCCTATAATAGATAAAGGGACAAAGAAAAGGTGGTATATGTGTACAATGGAATATTATTCAGCCTTAGAAAAGGAAATTCTGCCATTTGCCGCAACATATATGAACCTGGAGGACATTATACTAAACAAAAGAACCCAATTACAGAAAGACAAATAGTGCATGTCTCATTTAGATGTGAAATTTCAAAAAAAGTCTAACTGATAGTAGCTAAGAGTACAGTGGTGGTACCAGGTAGAGGAAAAGGGAAGAGACTGGTATATAAATTCTCAATTATACAATGAGTAAGTTCTGGAGACCTAATGTGCAGAATGGTGGCTATAGTTAATAAGGTACTGTATACTTGACATTCACTAAGATAGTAGATCTGATCTCAAAAAAAAAGGGGACTATCTTTTATAAGTATTAACAACAAATAAAAATGTTTCCAATTTGAATTAAATTTTCTTTATTTACAACAAAGATCATTTTTAAAAAGATCCAATTAGAGTGATTTTCACTATGAAATTAAATGATCATAAATTCTTATTCTAATAAAAAATTTTAAAATCTGAACTTTAACATAAACTGTAACTATTTTTAAAATAAATAAGAATGCCCAAATTCAAATGTGTAGTGCATAAGTAACAAGAAAAATATTTGACTATCTTGATCCATATGTTTAAAAATCATTCTAAAAAGTGTTACATAGTCTTATTAAATTTCTCCACATAGTGGCCTTTTTTCCTCTTTCATTATATTTTCTCTATATCCAGTCCCCAGTGTGGTATATAACAGAGTATTTGACAAACATCATATTTCAGCAATCACACATAAAACACTGCTAATGTACTCAATTATGCATATATTTCCCTAAGGGAGTTAAATCATCAAATCCATGCAAAAAACTTTGCAAAAACCACTTACCTTCTTTACAATTTAGTTTTTCCTTTAAAATGAAGATGAGTTAGGTGATCTCTTAGATTTTTTTCCAGCTATAATATTCTATAATTAGTATTTATTAATATAATGTCAGATATGTGCTCATTTAGCTTTTATGAGGCAAATTTAACTAAGCATAGGAAGAAAAGTATAAGATTCAAAACTGCCCTTAAAGAGTTAAAAGATAATTGTGAAGACAAAAACACCACATAGAAAATGATACAAGATAATACAGTGTCAAATGCTAACTGGCTAAGTAGAAGCTGTCGGGAGAGGCCACTGAACTAAGGGTCTTGGCAAGGGTAGCCACAGGAGCTTGGGAAGGTTTGACACACAAAGTGAGAGATGAGCTGTTTTTGTGAGAAGAGGGGATTTGGACGAATAGAGAGAAAATGGTATTAAATATCATTAAATATCACCTATATCATGTTGTCTCTTGAAGATGAACTTTCTTATTGAGCCTAATGAAAGAATTCTTAAATGTACAAATCTGGATTATAGAAGGGTGGGGAGAAATAAGAGTTTAAAAAATCATTTCCTAGAGAAAGAAAAATTCTGCTTCATCTCCTCATATAAATGTTTCATTATCAATATCATAAGATACCTTCCATGGTAGTACTAATGCATACACCATTAGTCTCCCTACGTCTAAAGACAAACATTGTCATAGATAATAAGCTGATATGTTGGTAAAATATTTCAGGAGCTTTGAGGACTTAAAATAAAATTTATAAACTTCAGAAAAGTTTTTAGTAATAGGAGCATTCAGAGTCAGCTGAAAAGGACCTGAAGGAGAAGGAGATCATGAAAGTGATGTGACTGGAGCATCTTATTAACACAAAACCGAGATGCGCCATGAGAAATGCAAACACCAAGTTCCACATGCAAAGGTCTGAGCCATTTAACACTCCAACGGTGTTGTCATTGTACTGAACAAATTCACATTTGAGTTCATTTTCTAAGGCTGATTAAATGAGTTTAGGGAACGTTGGGTCAAAGATGAATGAACCATAAATAAAGCTCACTTAAAAGACGAGAGTAAAAAAACTTTAAAGAATTTGGGTGAGAATAAAGAAATTTTGGAAAGCAGTTAAATCAAGTCATTCATTACTATGAAATGCAAGCATCCTTTCAAAAATTCCAATTTACACCTATTTCTAGTTATTTTATAAAAAGTTGTAGGGTCGAAGGTAGAAAATAACCTGTCATAGTGATGATTTATAAGGAGGCTGTTGAGACGATCACTACACAACCTCAGGAAAGGGCAAAGGACCTCCCAAAGCATGTCCTGAAAAAGGAGGCCATCCCTGTACAATGCCTGATAAGCTGCAATCTTAGAAATGATAATAGTGACTTTTCGAAAACTATGTAACAAGAAGGGTTTTAGGCAACTTACAGATTTTATTTAAAATTGGTAGTTGGAGATCTGCGCATCAGCGATTCTCAAGCAAGCTCTACTGGCCAACCATTGTCAGAGATACGCTGATTTCATATTGTATGAGTATTTTATAAAACCATTAGGAATTATTATGTTTAAGACCAAGCAAAATAGTAATTTCATACATCTTTACTATAACACTTTAACATATACTTACTTTATGATATTTCGTGTTTGACATTAGCCCTTTATTATCATCTTCCTAAATTTCTGGCTGTTATCATATAAACACTAATATTATATTTCAAATATATCCAAATTCTATCCAAATATATCCAAATTCTTTACAATTATTTGGGGGTTCCATATGATCTGACACTTGTCTTTCTCTTTATTCCCATCTCTTACCGTTCTCCCTTTTGTGAAGGGAGAAATTCCTTCTTTGTCAAATTTGTCTCATTTCTTTCAGTTCCTTTGTCACTAGTTCTTCCTGTGGCTAATTCTTTCTCAACCTTTGTTCTTAACTCCAAGGTCAACTTCTCAAACAGACCTTACCTGACTTCTTTGTCTAAGCACCTCCTCTAATCATTCTACCTCATTATCCATTTATTTTCTTCAAGGCATTTTACCACAATCTATAATCATCTCATTGACTTGTTTCCTTGTTCACTGCCACCAATCCCCTCCTCCTAAAGGGGAAGTAGCAGGAGAGTCAGCAATCCAGTCCTTCTGGTAGTACTCGGACGAATGATCAGCGCTGAGACTACCAACATAGCGTCTCCTTGCCCCAACTCTAGTCACCCCCTGAGCCCTGTTCTCAACTGAAGCCTTGTCCTATCAAAACTGTACATTTTCAGCGCAAATCATTTTGTTCATTCCCTCCCAACACCACCCCCCATTAAAAGACTTGAATAAAACATTCATGTAGATATGTACAAACACACACACACATATTTATATATAAAATCACTATATTACTGATTAAAATCTGTCCTTACCACTTTAGTGTCTGGCTTTGTCTGTCTTTGACAATAGCACCTAACATGTGGTAAGTGTTCAATATTAATTTGTTGCATGAATAAATAAGTTACTAATAGTAATAAATGATGCTTCACAAATTTTCTCGGGGAGATTTTATTTTCCTGGTTAAAGCTATTTATTGAGTACTACCGGGTATTTCATCCATTATAATTCAGTAGCATTTTCTAGAGATTTCCTCTCCACACACAGGGCCCTTATTTATTTGAGGTAAGATACCTAAGAATGTGGGATTTATATGTGTATACATTATAAGTATTGCTGCCTTTATGTCAATTTATGATCCAAAGAGTAACTCAATTCTCTAAACCAAAGAAAATGTGCAGCTTTGTGAATAAATTTTGGCACACTTTGGAAGGAAGCTAAAGAATAGCTATTAAGAGAACATGAGGATAACTTCAGAAAAAATATCTTAAGCTCAAAGAACAAAAAGAACCAGTATCCAATGCTAGTGGGGGCTATCGTAACACTGGGACATTAACAAAGCGTAATCGGAACACAAAGTGGGATAAACCTCTTTTGAATAACAACTTGATATCAATTATTTTGGCCATAAAAATACTCATATTCATTGACTCAGATCATCTATTCTAGTGCTTTAATCTATGGAAATGTAATTTAGGTAATATATGGAAAGAGCTAACTTCACAAAAATGTTTATGAGTGTGGTTGATAATATTAGAAAATAGAAAATAAACTAAATGTCCAAATTTAAGGGAATGGTTTACTAAATTAGAGTAATTCATTCAATTAAAAATTTTGTCACTAGCAAAAATTATAGTGTGTGACAACTTGGGGAACATTTAACTGTGAAAATGCTGAGTGGAAAATTTAGGAACAAAAATACACGAATATAAAAATAAATAAAATCTTAACAAAATTAGACACATAGATAAATACTAAAACATAGTTTACTTAAGAGCTAGATTTATGAATGATATTTTTAATTTCTCCATTTCCAGCATTTTTGCTAATGGGAATATAATATTTAACTAGTAAGATATATCTTAAATACATCTAAAAGAAACATGTTTTTCCATTACATAGGATCATTTTCAATATAGGCCACTGTGAGCTCTTAAAAGAGTTTGCTATCAAAAAAAGTTAAGTTTAAAATCAAAACAAAAATGTAAAAGCAGTTAAATTCATTTTCAGAAAAAAGTATAATTTTTCTGCATTAACTCTACATAGATGTAGTTACTTAAAAGAAAACAAAACAACAAAAAATAGTTAATCTTGAAAGTGATCTTTTTTCCAAAAAAAAAGTTAAGTCTAAATAAACTGAATAAAATTTTAGATACAAGTTAATTCAAAAGCAATGTATTTAAAAACAAACAAACAAAGAAACAAACAATGGTTTGGTACTTACAGGGATACAATATTCCACCATTGGATAATGCAATTTGTGACCTTTTGCTGTTCGACCAGAAAAAAAGCAACTCTGGCAGACATCATAATTAAAGTGCTTCAGACTTCTATACCTAAAGAGAAGAAAAGAAAACTCATTGGCTTCCATTCTCATTATTTAGTCTAAATCAATCATTTGTGGTAAGGAATGTCACTCATCCAAATCACCAAGGAAATAAAGTAAATTTTTGGATTTCCAGTCTCTAGAACATGTTTCTATCTGTTTATGAATGATGAGGAGACAAATATGCATGTCTGAAGATTTTCTTTAGTGTTTGAATATGAATGGAAAATGGTAGAGAAGGAAAGAGTTATATTTATCAGCTTATAAGAGTTATATTTAAGAGTTATGTTTACCAGTTATATTTATCAGGTCAAAATTTTAAATACCAATTATATCATCAATAAGAAATGAATCTTAAAATTCCCTCACAAAGGTATTTTTTTTTTTACAATAAGCATTTTTATACTTGGCTTAAACTAGTCATTAGGAACAAAAAAATTAAAAATGAAGAAATACCCTGTAATGAAGAACTAAATAAAACCTTGATCACAATGCATTCTTGAATGGAAACTGTTTTTAAATCTCTTGCTTAAGAATGACACTACACATTGACTTCCATTTGCACAATCTTAGAGGAGCGAAACTAGATAGTAAGCACTTTCTATGGGTCTAAGTAGAAAACATTTCCAGAATTTTCCATTCCATCAACATTGCTGGTGGAACTATGAACATAAATTATATCCATATGTACAGAAAAAAAAATTTTTTTTGATCAGCTTTGAAATGCCTATCCAGAAAAGGGGAAAAAAAAATTATAGGACAGGACTAACAGAATGAAAATGGAAACAAAATTAAAAGGTTATGTGAGGTTAATATTGTAAACTATTAAGTGCTGAGTAGCTTCTAAAATGACCTGCAAAATTATTTGCAAATCGATCTGAAGGAAATCAATCTGTGTATACTACAGCCAGCTTACTTTTGCAAGGCAGCTACTGGTTTGAAACAACCACGTACACTAACAGTATCTGTTGACCCATCAGCACGGCTTGACAAATATGACTGACATCTTTTCTTCTACAGGGAGTCTGTTTATTGCTGAGTACTTCCTTGGCAGATGGCCAATTTCCCCTTTTCATTGGTAGAGACCCTGGTATTGTTAGTACATGTTAGCAAGGTGCCTTGTGAAAAATACTGTTTCTCAGTCTGTCTTGCAGATGGTAGTGACCAGTACAAGTCCAAGTCACTGGGTAGGGTATCTAGTTGGGATTTCAAGGGACTGATTCAGTTGTAAAGAGGCAAGCTCCCACTTCCTCCTTCCTGGAAAAGGAACCTGACATCCAGGAGAGTAATGTTGTTACCATGAGATGGCCTTGAAGATGGAAGCCACATGTTAGGGGTGACAGAGTATAAAGACAGGACTAGGGGCCCAAGTGAACACAGGGCAACCATATCAATCTTGGATTGCCTACTTCCACACTTTGTTTACATGAAAAAAAACAAAAACAAAAAACACACACAAACCTCTAATTTATTTATGCTACTATAAAGCAGTTATATGTGATCCTAACTGAAAATAATTCCCAGCTTACAAAACATTCTGTAAATCTAAGATTTCATTAAAATTTAATTTGAAAGTAATTAGTGAAATTCTGTAGCGTATTTATAGAAGTTCAAAGAAAATGAATATATATGTATACACATATATACACACACACATACATATATTAAGCAGGAGCTTGATAGTCTAAAGTTAAGTTTATTCTATTATACAATGCAAATACTCCTCTATCTTTATTTCTGTACTTGCTTGGCTTATCATTCTTCCTGTAACCTCAGAGAAAGAGGTATCCCTTTATAACTAAGAGCAATTCAGACCTATTTTACTTTGGCCCCATTTTAATATTAGGATTGTTCTTACATTCATTCCCTTGGTGCATTAATCTTTACGCAACAATTAAGTCACCATTAGTTTGAAGAAATGTTTGCTTGGCCTTATCTCTAAACCAGGTATCAACTATAGACATATTTCACTTTCATTCAGAAACTAAAAATTTTAGATGTACTATATTCTCAATATAGAAGACTGAGGAAACTATATGCAAATAAAAGGAAGATAATATATTATCTACCATTTTGCCATTTTCAATGTCTTGACATATTTTCAAGTTAGAGCTAGATTTCTTGAGCAAGTTGTTGGCACAAAATGACCTACTCATTTTCCTGATCCTGAACCTGCCTCCCATCCTTATCATGGTACAGAAAGCGTTCTAAAATTCCCAAAGACTTCTGATTCAAAGGTCTGTTCTCACATAAGATCTTTAGCATTTCTCTGCTGCACTTAACACGCACTTCTACCATCTTTCTAAAGCCTTCTCTTTGATTTCCACACTATGCTTCTTTACTTCTCTTACAAATACTGCTCATCTTTCTCTCCCTTTTATGTACCTCTTTTCAATCCTTCCTTCTACTGAGCGACATCATTGTCCAGGTTTTTCTGGTATTTTTGCTTAATGGAAAAGTTCAATGATGTACTCATAGGCTTAGCTACTATCCTACTAATGATGTTACTGGTAAAGAGCTAATATTTACTGGATGCCTAGATAGGTACTGCCCTAGATACTTTTCATGTAGTAACTTCTCCTATGAGGAAACACTCTTTAAATTTGAAGTTGAAGAAACTCAGGTTCAGGAAGGTCAAGTAACTTATTCAAAGACTCAGAGCTAAACAGTAGATCCATGATGCAAAGCGGCCCGACTCCAGAGCTAGATCTCAACACACTGTCGCCTGCATATCCTGTTCAACCTTGGTCTCTGACCACCGTTCAGCTTCACATCTTCATCATGCAGCTGAATTTTATAATAATATGAAAAATGTAAATACTGAAATTTGACAATTAACATTGTTCACCCTTTATAATTGTTCTTTCATAGTTTTCTTATGAAATATTTGAAGTTCATTCAAAAGTAAAAAGAATAATATAATAAACATCCATGTACCTACAACTCAGCTGTTAAATATTAATATTTTGCTACAGTTACTTAAGGTCATTTTTTATTCAAGAAATAAATCTTTTAAGGTCATTCAAATATTACTATTCTTTAGAGTTTTTTGTTCTGTCCTTCACTCTCCATGTTCACAGTCTCTGAGAAATCTGGTCCCTCATGACATCTCTAGGCTACACCAATGGCTACATATGACAGATTTTATATAAGCCAGTCTCTTCCCAATTCCACTAACCTGGATATTTCTTGTGGTTTCACATAACAGTTCATATCCAGTATGATATTTTTGATCTAATAATTAATGTCCTAAATGAATTGTTATTTTCAGTATAACTTAATTTCTTCTTAATATTAAATCCTTCCTCTCCTAAAAAAATCTAACCTGCTTTTTAAAACCACCTTGAGGCTGGGCGCAGTGGCTCACGCCTGTAATCCTAGCACCCTGGGAGGCCAAGGAGGAAGGATTGCTTGAGGTCAGGAGTTCAAGACCAGCCTGAGCAAGAGCGAGACTCTGTCTCTGCTAAAAATAAAAAAATTAGCTGGGCATGGTGGCACGTGTGTGTAGACCCAGCTACTCAGGAGGCTGAGGCGGGAGGATCACTTGAGCCTAGGAGTTTGACGTTGCAGTGAGCTATGATGATGCCATTGCACTCCACCTGGGGTGACAAAGCAAGACTCTATCTCAAAAAAATAAATAAATATATAAAAATAAAACCACTTTGATTAGGAGCACAAAAGATTCGGATTCCAGAATCAAAGAGATCCAGATTTGAATCTCGACTCTGACTCTGCTCATTGGACATTTGGCCTTGGACAAGTTGCCTAATCTTTGAGTCCTAGTTCCTTAATGTGAAAACAGAGATAATACTCCCAATCTTACAGAGTTTTTATGAAGAGGAAAAAAAATAACAAATGCAACACATTTTAGCACAATGTCTGGCATATAGTAAACAAAAAATGGCAGTAATTATTAGCTCTGATAATTCTGTCTCTCTCATGTGGATTATCTTCCCAGCAGTATCCTGAGGTTGCCACATTCCAGCTATTTCCTCTCCTGTGTCTCTATGTCCACCAGGCACTTCTAACTTAGCTATTCCAAGAAACCTGCTGTACGTGAACTGTCTCTTTCCCATCTTCCTCCTTGTGACGCCTGCCTGTCACTTCCACAGGGCCACCCACTATCTTGGCTCTCCACCAGGCTTATGATGACTCTTCTTCACACTAACTGCCTGCCTTTCCATCCTCCTAGGACACATAGTGGCAAGGCCCTCTGAAATGATATCACTTTAGATAGTGTCCCCAATTACATCATAATGTATGAGACAAGAGGAAATTTAAATTCCATTTCTTATGTTAGCCACTCACAGAGAATGCAATGATATGCTTCATACAAACTATTATGCTGACAAAGCCAGTCAAATGAAAGCAATTTTGTTTAATTCAAGATACCGACACTGACACTATGTATTAATACAACAACCACCAATCCTAGCCCTCCTGACTGGAGGATCACCATCTTAGCTAATTCCTCTTCAGGTATGAATGAAACCTACATATTTTAAAACCTCGAATTCCTCTGCTGAGTAGGCTTACGTTGTTTCATACCAGATTTCCAAATCAAATGGGGGCTATTTTCTAGATTTCCCTGGAAGAGAAATACAGTATATTCTAAGAGGTCAAATGCATCCTTTAAGATCAAAGGACCAGGATGGTCATGGAACTTCATCTTAGGACAAACACAGACTTTGCCCAGTCTGCTTTGGGGTCACAAATCGATGAGTCTGACACAATGATTACATCAAAGTGTGGCATTTAGTGATGCTCCTCATGAGAAGGTGAACAGTAGGGTTACTGTATTCCACAACAAACTTGGCAGAAGTAACACAAAGTAACTTGATTACTTCTCAATTATTATTTAAATGTTGCTTCCTGCTTTACTAAGTTTGACCTCATAGATCTCAGAATATCCATCGAAATTCCATCAGGCCTAAATATTTATCATCAGTCATGCAATTATTGTGCATGAACATTTGTGTGTCCTAAGTACATAAAAATTCATAAAAATCTCTGGTTCTTGACCAAAGTAGTATAAATAACAATACTATTTAATACTACCACTAATAATAATAATACAATAAGCTTCATGTAGTGGTTATAAGAAAGAATGCCATTTTTAGACAGAGAAAATATAATGAACACCTTCTCTATTTAGGTACAAACCTTTGAATGGGAAATAGAAATGGATGCTGGGCAAACCACTGAGATTACACAAATGGAAAAGAAAATAGTCCACTGCCAGCACTAGTACATCTCACCTGAATCCAACAATAGGACATTCTTTACAGATGTTGCATTTGGCCTGATGTTTTGCAGTCTCAGCTGCTGCCACTCGATGTAAGACCGGCAGCCAAACCATGGACTGTGGTTCCAAACGCATCCAGTCTATAAACTCTTTCACACTTATCTCAGGCTTGTTGTTATTCTGGTGAAGAAACAAATATATTAAAAGTGGAGAAAATGTCTTCGCTTAAGCTGCAGCAAGTGTTGTCTCTTCATAATCTCTCTGAGACTCTATGCAGAAGGGGCAACTTATACAGCTCTTTCCAGGTCAGTGAAATCATAAAGGCTTTAAGGTTCTTCCAGGCAAGAAAATTCCAGACTCCATAGCTTAAAAGTTGAAAAAGCAGAAATAGTTATACAGGAAGAAGAAAAGATCCCAACACCTTAATATAGTCAGATGTAAAAAAAAAAAACAAAAAAACCACAAAACAAAAGCAAAAACCCAAACCACACAATTCTAGGTAATCTTTTCACATAAATACTTTAATTCGATAAAACCTCTTCATCTAAGACACTAAAAATTTGTGAAAGTAAAGATTCACTGATAACTTTACAAGCTTGAAGGCCATTATAAATGCTAAACAAAAGCTGTGATTTTTGTGTCGTTTGCTCCAGTCCTGTTACATCATCACTCTGGAACCATTCTGCTATGAAGAATGCACATTGCAGAATTTTCAAATTTATCATGGTAAATTATAGGAAACTTCTCGATCTCTCTTCAAATCTTAATATCATACTAAGTGACTTTCTTATGTACAAAGTTAAATTTCTACCAACATCATTCTCCTGCTGTTGTTGAGGTCATTCTATGAAACAACACGTGTGACTATAAATCACAGTTAGAATTTTCATGTGATATTTTTTGTATTTCTAAAATAAGAAAAAAAGGCCATTATAAAATGTAATAACCCATGACATCAATTCTCCTCAAAGATATAGTGTGAGCATTTTTTTTTCCTCAGCAATGATAAATCACTGGCTGTGCTTTGGCAAAATGTCCGTAGGCTCGTACTTCATGCATATGCATAACACCAGTAGTAACATTTCTAAAATGCCTTTATACACAGTAAACATTAAAAAGGAACTAAAATGCTTTCCCAGTTTAAAATTAGTAACTTAAGATAGTATAAAACTTTGTACATCATTCTTCTTTTGTATGTATATTCTCAAAGAAAATACTGCTATTTTAATAATATCTTTAATTTATATTTAAAAAAAATGTTACCTAGAAATAACTCAGGCCATTTTTATTTGTTTATTTAACAAATATTTATTAAAGTAGCTATGTGGTTTAAGGTACCATGCACAGGGATATGCTATGGTCTGAATGTTTGTGTTCTCCCAAAATTCATATATTAAAACCTAACTCCCAAGGGGATGGTATTAGGTGGTGGACCCTTTGGCAGGTGTTTAGGTGATAAGGGTGGAGCCCCCATGAATAGGATTAGTGCCCTTATAAAAGAGGCCCAAGGGAGCTCATTCACTCCTTCCACCATGTAAGGGCACAGCAGGAGGGCTCGAATAAATCAGAAAACAGGCCCTGATCAAATACCCAATCTGTTGGCACCTTGATCTTGGACTGCTCAGCCTCCAGATCATGAAAAATAAATTTATGTTGTTTATAAGCCACCCAGTTTATGGCATTCCGTCATAGCAGCCTGAATGGACTAAGACAGGATATAACAGTAAAAAGATAGACACAATCTTTGTCTTCATGGAGCTTAGGTTCGGATAGAAGAAACAAATACTAAACAATGAATTCTACAATTAAGTATGCAATTATAATTGTAATGAGCATGAGAAGGAAGAGGTGAAGGATATTAATGTGAACACAGTAGAGAAACATACCTCATCTGAAGGGATAAGAGAAAGATTTCAGGAGGATGCGAGAGTGAAGCTAAAACTTAAACACTGAATGAGGATCAGGGATGAGAAGGGAGAGAGGGCAGAGAAGAAGGAGGAGAATTCCAAACATGGGGCACAGGTCCAATGCACTCAAGCGGGAGTCAAGGAACTAAAACTGCCAGCTGGAAAGCAGAGAGCCAGGGGAGGGGTGGCAAATGGGGAGGCCGGGGGAAAAGGAAAACAGCAATCTCATAGCACAGGTTAAAGATTTTAGATCAATCCAAAGAAAAGCACTAAGTCTCCTTGCAGGGGTCACTATTCCTTGAATCAAATATGCCTTAAGAAATAAAATACAAATGTACGGAATGGTATGCAAAGTCTTCCACCATTTGGCTTCAGCACGAACTCCCTACTCCATCTCTTGGAACCTCCTAACACCCTTCTCCAACACATGCTATAGCTGTATGACGCTGATCTTTGTGCTTACCTGTTGGAAGCAGCTGCGAACACTAGGCTCGATATTACTGCCTCCGAAAGCCGCCACTTCTCCCAGCTGCCGGGGGATCTGGATGGCATCATGAAGCAACAGGCCCAGCTGCCTCTGGTCACACATTTCTGTGGGCCCTGCCACTTCCTTAAAGAGAACTGCAAGGAGAAGCAAGAGGATAGCTTCCATCTGCCCACAGTGTTCTTTTACTTAAAATATATCTTTGGTAATGTGGACTGAATTATGAGGATTAAAAAAAAAATTCAGGAGGACATGAATCAGATTATTTGTCTCCTAAATTCTAATGATCTTAATATTCTGTGTGTCTGCACTTGAGAACTAGTTAACCACATGCTCCTGAAGATAATCTTGTATGCATACATATCAATAGATCAATAAAGACAAATTTGCTTTTTAAATAGTTACAATAAATGCACGTGGGTTAATTTTATAGTCTTCATAGGGATTTTCCCTTCTTATCGAGGAAGATTATGAGCCAAAACAAATCTTCCTTCATGACTTGTCAAAGGAATAAATGTGCCTTAAATAGCAAACCTTTAAATTTCAACAGATTTACCAATTTTTTGTGCTCACTCTTATTCAATATTCTATTAAATATATATGTTTTTGACTTCTTTTAAAGACTTCTATGCTCAAATCTAGTTTATGTAATAAACATTTAAAAAGGCCAAGAAATTGTACTTTTTCTTTTTAGGGCCAGTCTCTCATTCCCTATTAGATATAAAAATTATTTTTGTTTTACTTCATGTAATCAAATACATTTACTCAAATTTTAAGGACTTATTAACAAAACTTTGTGCATATTTTCATATAGTTTTTTAGGCTTTTCCATTCATAAAAAACAATGATCTATTTTAGAAATTTCTTAATTCAGTAAAATTAAAACTCCTCTCTACTTTGCAGTATTGGTTTATCTTCTGTTCCCCATATGCAATATTTTGAAGATTAAAATTATTACAGTATTTCCAACAATAAGGTTAATGTACTAAGGTGCTACTTTTGGAATAGGGAAGTTTCAAAGAAAAACAACCCACTTCATTACAGAAATTAACACTCTTAGGAATTTTCAAGGTCTAAAAATTTAAGAGCACACAAAATGTAAATGTTCTTCATATGAAGTTTTCCAAGAATAGAAGAAAGGAGAGTAAATATTTATTTGATTCTGAAACACATTTTAAAACAATACCTGATAAATGAATGTCAGATCAATATGTATCATTCTCTCTCTTTTTTTTAAGGGGAATAATGTTAAATCTAACACTGTCAACAGGGAATTTTGAAACTACTGAACAAAGCTCAGTGATATTGACACAGTAATTACAATGAAATATGGCTTTAATCATAAGCACGCATAAGGAAAGCAAATGCAATTAAGATAAATTTAATTTTTATTATTATTTTTTCACTTAGATTTGGTTAGAGCTCTATTTGTTTTTTTTTCATTTTTTAAAAATAAGACTATCATAGCCAAAATTATTTATCTAGGAGTCTTATTATGATGCTCATTTTAAACCTGTTTCTGGAAAGAGGCTTATTAAGTAAATACAAAGTTGATATATATGTATAATAATCTTTACAGAGGAGTGCACATTTTCAGCAAGATCAATTGTGCCCAACTTTCCTCTTTTGAGGCAAATAGCTATTCTATTATGCCACTGCTAAGGCAAAACTACTCATAAAACATAAGGAGAAAAGTGTTCTTTAAACAATTGACATATTTTTAAAATCTTTAAAAAGTTCACATTTTCAATGTTTATAGTCAGACATAGAACTCAGTGTTCAGACGTGGAGGTGGGTCACAAGAAGAGAAAGCCATAATCTAAAACCCAAATCCCAATAAATCAGCACAGGAGAGATCTAAATGGCCATTCAAAAGGAGGCTTTGTAAATGTGTTTTCGATGAGGCAAGAAAACCATCCAGCTATAAACAGGAAGGCCAGAGTATTGTTAGAACCTGATCAAAGGATATTTTCAGCAAGCCACTAGGAGAGAGGTGTCAGGAGGGTGAATACACTTACACTGGCCATTGCAAAATCAACGTTCAGATGGATACCAAGTGACCCTGAATGGTGCCATTGAGTCTGAAGAGCAAATTGTCTTAAATGTTAATTCTAACAAAGGAAATAATAATGAGGAGGTGTTCTGATATCATTGGGGAAATCAAAACTGGAATCAGAGTTGCTAAATGACCTCAAAATAAAAAGCAAAACAAAACCCCAGAACATTCCAGAGTTTGGATATCTCAGTAAAGATTTAGATTAAAGCTTGCCACCCAGGAGATTTCCTATTTAATTAAGTCCCTAAAATTGCATACTTCATGGATTAAATGAAATATCGGAAATTTTCATTGCAGGGGCTTCTGCTTTCCTTGCCAAAATCTGAAAGTTTAATGTTGACTTATAGAAAATATAAGCTTTGAGGTTGAATGTGCATTTGTTTCAGAGTAAATGCAGCACTATAATGTAACTGTTACTTTCACAGAACCCCAATTCTTTCAGGTGCATAAGAAAACTCTAAATTGCAGATGATAAGTGCTTTTCTAATTTTGGAGTACTGATGCTTTGTTAACATTTTCATTTCCCTATCATTGTAGAAATGCTAAATTTTCAAGCTTTGGAAATTATATTCTTTTTCATAATTATGATGCTGAAGACAACTAAAGTTCTGGATAAAGTGCCACAAAACAAAAGCCTCGTGCAAAGCTTTCATTCTGCCTGGTTTACTAGGCTCTCATTCCATCAGGGCACCTCACCTCCTGATCCTACAATCAGCTTTTCATTTCACACAAATCCACATATCTTTTTACTGACATGCTTGTCAAACTATATAGGAAAAACATGCTATCATGTTCTAGACCTGAAATTCAAAATCAAATAGCCTCACAGCGATCCCAGAAAATAACAGTTTTTAAAATGTATGCATGTTCACCTAAGGCACAAAACTTTAAAGTCTACAGGACCTGTGCTCAAATACTCTTTTGTTTTTTGTTATCTTTCCATTCATGAGATACCTTTAACCTTCTCCTACAAATATATGGATTTATTTGTAAGGAATCATCTGGCAATATGCATGGCAGGACTGAATTGCTCACATTTTATGGACAAAATTAAATCAAAAGAGATGTTATAGTAGCTAAGAGTTTGGAGACTTAGCAGCAATTGCTATCATTTGTTCAACACCTGCTATTTCTAAGCACTTTACACATGCTATCTCTAATTCCTTTCCAAGCAGGAATTATGAGCTTCATTTTTCAGTTGAAGAAAGTTCACTAAATTTCCTGAACTGTGAAATGGGAGTAATATTACCTCTTAGTTGGCAGCATTCAATAGAATCATATAATCTGTCAAAGACACTCAGCTACTAAGAGGTAGAGATTTGAAGGCAGGTCTCCCAGTCCCTGTGCACAAGCCCCTTCCAATGCCAAGATGGCTTTCATGAACTGACAGCTAAAGGGACACCACTGATTTATTGGTTGAATATTAATAATAATACAAATTGAAAAAATTTTTATCACTTTTTATTTTGTCACAACTATAAAATATATTGATTTAGGCTTATCATCTATGTCCATAAAGGTTCTAGACCATCTTAACTTTTTTTTTTTTAAGCCCTGGGAATACACAGAAATAGAAAAAGTTTGGGCTTTGGAATAAAAATAAATCTAAGATCATAATTATAGCCCCATGACTTACTGGATTCTTAACTTACCTCAGCATTAATTTTCTCAGCTAGAAAATGAAATCCCAATGCTATATTATTCTAAGAATTAAATGAGATATAGTTTGTAGTCCATCAAGGCACCTCACCTCTTAGTCCCATAATAAGCTTTTCATTTCACACAAATCCAAACCTCTTTGCACTGTAACTCTTTATCTAACCTGGTACATACACAGTAAGGGTTAAAAAAAATGGAAACTATTATTACTAGCAAATCATATAAAGTTAAGTTCCTAATAAATTATTATGATAATTATTATTACTAAAAACACTGTTGGTATATGAAAGGTCTTACATACATCTGTATTTTTCTTCCAGGAGACCTTTGGAGAGAGACATCAATCCAATCTTCAGACTCTGCACTCTAATTTTTCCAGTTCGACCCCTGAAATTATAAGAATCTTACTGTGTTAAATGCATTGAAAACTGTATACAGTATGTTATTAATAATTATTTCTGAATATCTACTTTTTTGAGGGTAAATCATTAAAAAATAATTGGATATTGAAGATGCAATTTTTCTATGCACTTTTAACAATCAATATTAAACCTTTGCCAAAATTTCACCATGGATTTTAACAGTGTGTTTGGCCAAGACTAAAAGAATACTCAGCCTCAAGTCACTTTACATATAACACATGAACTAAGAAGAATAAATTAAAGCAAAATGAAAATGATAATTATAAAACTGAAAAGGTTTTACTTTTATAAACACTATAAATTAAAATCTATCTGTTCATAATTGTAAATACAAGCTTCAAATGAGCTACATAATACATATGGCTTAATACAGTAAGGAAATACTAGTGATATATCTAAAAACAAATGTAAGAAAACTGATTAGAAAATTAGTTATATACTGAGGGCGTATAACCTGCTGAATACTTAAATACTTATTGTCTTCTTTTACTTTGGTCTCTGTCAATGCAGTTTCTATAAATTACTATTGTAATTTTAATAGTCTATGATTTTAGACAGGTGTGAAATCTCTATTTGGGAAAGTATCAAATTATAATTAAAACAGAATGCATTAATTAATCAACACTAGAAAATAGTTTCATACTATGCTAATGAAAGACTATTTCAACTTCGCTTATAACTTGACTAGACAAAAAATTTTGTCTTTGAAGGTGGAGAATTGACTTTATTCCATCACTTATCAAAGAATTACTGAGTTATCTACCAAATGTTAGTCACAGTCCTAGATCCTGGGGATGGAAAAATAACTACAAAAATTAATAAGATATGATTCTTGCTATGGAATAACACACATTACAGAGAAAAGTCTTTATTGCTATCTTTATTACTTTGGATTCAGGATTGGTTTTCAATTTAGGTTTTTATTGTCAATTTTCTTATCATATGTTTTTAATACACAAGCACAGTACACTTAAAACCTATAACCAAATGTTTACATAATTAAATGAATACATAAAATTAAGTAATTCATGGTATTTAAAAAACATAACTATTTGTATTATGTAACTTTAACTTAATTATTGCCAAATTATATTTAAATCTTGATTTTATTGATATTTTTACTATTAATACTAACTGATATACATCCATTTTCAAATTATAAATACTCAAGTAAGTTTCTATATACATATCTGGACATATAAAGTATAAAATAGATTAAGAAGGAAAACATACTTAGGGATTGGTATGATGTATTTTTTTCTTTTTTTTTTTTTGGAGACAGTCTTACTTTGTTGCCCCAGGTAGCAAACCTTAAACTCCTGGGCTCAAGGGATCCTCCTGCCTCAGTCTCCCCAGTAGGTGGGACTACAGGTGTGGCCACCATGCTCCACCAATTTTTTCTATTTTTGGTAGAGATTCCTGACCTCAAGTGATCCTCCTGTCTTGGCCTCCTAGAGTGCTAGGATTATAGGTGTGAGCCACCATGCCTGGCCTGGTGAAATGTATTTTCAAAATAATCCTTTAATAGCCTAGAGTTTATAATTTATATTGTATCATCCCCAATAAACTTATTGAGCCCTTACTATGTATGTGTACAACATTCAGAATTGACCCATGAGAGAATTAATACTTAATAGTAAAATAAATATAGCCCTTAGAAGCAGAATTTCTAAATTAATATACCCATTCAAATTTCTCACAATTACAGAAATACTAGTTGCAAATTAACCCTACAGTGAGCCATGCTACAAACTGTGTTTCTATTTTATATTTTTTAGGAGTTTCCTAATTATCAGATGAAATAGACAATGTTTGTTTTCTTCCTTTAAAAAAAATCAGGAAATGTTTACTCCCTGGACACATTCAGACAATAGACTTGAAGAGGATAACAAAAGGCTGTGTGAATGGACTGACATTAGTTTGTGAATGTGGCTAAGGATAAAGCAATCTTTAAGGGAAAAATGATCAAAATGATATTCATTAGAGCATGACCTCCACTCTACTGTCACAATAGCAGAGATGAACATCATCAAGAAGACAACTGAAACTGTCAATCATCCGTTCATTGCACCATCAATATTATTAAGACTTACTGTGATTCCAGTTTGTTTTGTACTATGGGGACCAAGAGAAAAGTAGAAGGCACAATTCCTATACATGATGAACTCACACACCAGCTGGGGAGGTAAAACGAGAAAACAGCTAGGGAACACATGAGACCAACTTTTATGTATGGAAATAAAGAATCAACTACAAGATCACTGTGGCTAAGTAGTCATTACTGATTAGTGATTAGTCTGAGTAGTCATTAGTCTCACAACATTTAATAGAGAAGATAAATCCAAAATGAGACATTGAAGGCATGGCTGGACTGTACTAACTAAGAGAAAGTAGAGTATCATAGGAAGAACTTGGACAAGGGGCTAGAGGGAGGGATATGAGCAGCAGAGATCAGACTCATTAAGGTGGGGTAAGGATTTGCATCAAAGCTAAATGGTTGACCAAGTCATACAGGTTATGTGGGGCCAGACGATAAAGGGTTTTGATGTGCATGGAGACATCTGGATGCAAAAGACAATAGGGAGCCAACAAAATTTATTAGTGAGTGACATTGCCCAATATTTAAGCATTTGGTTCCCTGGTAGTTTTCATAAGTAAATCCTGAAATTAGTTTAACTGAAAAGGTATTTACCTTATAAAATTATATCCATCTGGGAATAGTGGGGAAAAATGACTAAACACTGTGGCAAATGAGATTAACATTTTCTGTAGGGAAAAAAATATTTAAAGCAAGGGCCCAGACTAGCTTTAAATCATGATTTAAACGTTTTTGATTTCCATTAAATCCAGAAGGAAGATTGTGAAATTAAGACTTTTTAACCTGGGAAAATGAAGACTGAGTGAGGCTGTGAATTCACAAATGGAATCAATTTCATCTTTGTGAAGTTCTTTTTACATACATTAGTTCATTTGCCCTTCACAATCACCTTCTGTGTGGTAAGCAGAGCAGATATTTTTATCTCGATTTTTTTCAGATGAGAAATTGAGACGCTAAAGTTAAGTGGCTGCCAACTCACAACAACCAGAACGAAAAATCTAAATTCTTGTCATCCGTGACAGATGAAAATGGATTTTTTACAAAGTCCAGAATATTAGGAGGAGTTGAGTACATGTTAAAACTTGAAAGAAACAGTGTAGTTAAAATAACTTGTAAAGTACTATTTTTTCTTGATATGGCAATATGGTAAGAATAATCAAAGGACTATCCCCAAAATCTGAATATTAGTTCTATAACTACCACCAATAGGCAGTAAGTGGACAAATTGTCTTGTCTCACTAGGTCAGTTTTTCAATCAGTACAAATGAAGTGGGCAGAATGGAAGAGCCCCAAAGTCCTTCTACTTTGAGAATTCTNGCTCTTC